TAAAACTGAGAGCATACGCAGATTGAATGCTTTCCGTTTCAAGCACAACGACAGTTTCGATGAGAACAACATCTACAGTCTTCAACAACTGACCCATGCCATTTTTGTTCTTCTTTTGATTCCACATAATCAGATCTCCGCTACCGAAGTGAGATGCCCCAGATAGACGAAGCGCCTTGCACCTAGCATCTTTCAAGGTTAAGACAGTTGACTCAGGTTTATTTTCAATCCTGTAATACTGGCGTTTTTCGCTTTTTGATCATTCTTTGAAGTTCTTCCGATGACCCTTAAAAAATTATAACACTGTCTGCATCTGCATATCGCTTAATTAATACTCATTTACCTCCAGACGCTGACTTTCTCAATGGAACGTCTTGAATACCTCTTCTAGAAATCCGTGAATAACTTCGGTGACATTAGTTCATTCTGTGAGACGCCGTTTATGTCTTCATGAAGCCTCACACTAGCTGTAGCAGTTGTCTAAATCATCAAGATAAGGACTTTGCGCCTGTTCCGAATTACTTGGATCACCAGGAAATTCAGTACAGATCAGTTGTAGATTGAGTAGTCCTCTCAGAATCGATGGGCAGAGAGAAAGCTGACATTAGCTTCTTGTCTGAATAACTCTGAAGATGATCCATCGCACTAAACCTAATTCTGGGTCCTGTTTGCTTCCTCTGCTGTTTCCAGTATTACTCTATTTCAGAGTAACAAGTCTAAGATAATATTTACTGCTGGAATTGGAAAGTTGCTACAGCTACAGATACTTGTGAACTGGACAAAGCGGATTGCAGTGCCTCTGTTCAGTAAGGGAAACCACAGAAAGAGCTCCAATTATCTGAACATTATTTGATGACTGAGTGTTTGTTCTGCGTTGGTGATCATGCTGAAAAATGAAAAAGGTTTTTTTTCGTTTTCAATATTGTCTTATTGACCCTCTGAGAATAGTCTACGCAAAGATGTCAGAAAGGACATGCCGCGGAATAATTGAGTCTAATATACAAGATGAGCAGCGTCGCTTCAGGTTAGGCACAAGTTCCTTTGACCAGAACTTCGCCTTGTAGAGAATTGTTGAGAACTCATGGGAGTTCGCCAATCCGGTGTATATGTGCTTTAGTGACCCAAAGAAAGCCCATGACCGGATCCCTCACAACAGTCTGTGGTTATGCCTGTGAGCATATGGGAAAGATTGACAACATTAAGGGCCTTTCAATCACTGTACTCTGATAGCGGATGCTGCGTCAGAGTACATGTGTTGTGCATGGATAGAATAGTCAGGAGATGTGGAGGCAAAAAGGTTGCTGGTGGCAAATGACCTTGTTTTATTAGCCTCTTCTGAAACTGATCTTCAGTGCTCCGTAGAAAGGTTCGCAGCCGA